TGAAAATGTTTTAAAGCTATCAGAGACCTTCAGAATGACACATTTGAAAAGTCATTGGATGAGTTTTATCTTCAATTCTGAAGAAAAGAAAAAATATTTATTTTATATTCTGTTTTTATTATTTTTATAAACAACTCAAGGCAACAAACATATCTAATGCTCCTTCTTCCTCACAACAACAACCTGGGGGATGAATTGGGCTGAGAAAGAGTCACTGGCCCAAGAGTCACTAAGGCCAGACTTCAACTCACAGTCCCGTTTTTTAGCCTAATGTGTTAACCACTAGACCAGCAAAAAGCTAAATAAGATTTTGATCTAAGAAAATTATAAATGCATTAAGGGTTCAGATAAATTTAAAATATTGTTTTTATTAGAAAAGATGGAATTAACTATAAAAATGAATAACTTTTCATGAGCAATGGACTTTTGGTTATCCCGGCAATGTCAACCCATCCCACCTGGTCAGACAGGCAGAAAGGATGTATTGTAGATTCCCTCAGTTAAAGATTTTGACTGCAAGATCTAAGAAGAGATCTATTGTCCCCATCCTGTGGAACATCTTGCCTTCAAAGTAAGGCCTTCTGACTTTCCAGAAAAGCATCAGGATCTGGCTCTGCCAAATGACATGGAAGGAAGTTGTCTAAGAGTGATGTGCAATCCTGAAGTCACTCCCCCACCATCTCTTTAATTTTTTAACCTTTAAGTTTCTAACCACTAATTGTAACTTGGTTTTAATTCTATTTTTAACTCTGTTTTTATTTTAGTTTTACATTGTGTATATTTTTTATTTGTAAGCCACCCAGAATCACTTAGGTGATATGGGCATTGTAGACATTTGATAAATAAATAAATAATACTTGGACTTACAAAATGATACCAAATATTATAACATCAGAAATATTAAAGGAGAACTTTGAATAATGAAACCAGAAGTTAGTAACTATAATATATGCAACACCATCTGAAATGATGATGCTTCTATGGACAGATTATGTCTAAAAGATGTTAATGAAGGGATGACAGACATGGAACAAATTTTATCTGAAAAAAAATAGAGAAAGCACAGAATATGGAACTACAAGTGAGAGGCAAGAGAATAATTTTGAAAAGGACTTTTTATTGGATATACAAAAGAAACTGACTGAAATTGTAAAAATTAAATAGAAAACACAAATAATAAACCAAGAGTATAATTTGGAAAATAAATTCTTATTGGAAGCTTGTTAAAATCTTGAAAAAGTCTGTGCGATGGGATAAAGAATTGAAGAGAAATTAAATCCTACAGCAATTTTGATTGAATTAATGTTTAAGATTGTTAGAAGTAAAAGGAAGGAAAACTCATATAAAGTTGGTTTGATAAAGGTTAAAACAAGATATATTGTTACTTCTGGCAACCTTTTATGGACTTTCTGTTGACTGTTGATATTTTATGGATTTGCTTATAGATAAGGGATTGTAATGGGATGAAGAGATTTCTGTTTGTAACTCTATGGGGGCTGCAGAGTTACTAAATTTGTTTATATTTGTGATGAAGGTTGGAAGTCCCTTTTATATATTTCTTTTCTTTATTATATTCTTTCTTTTTCTACTTGCTTTTTTCTGCACGTTTGATTCTTTTTTCTCAAACTTTAGTTTGTATTAGTTTTTACTACTGTAATCAAGATTCTTACTAGAAATTAAATTTATATTAAAAAGGATTTCTATTAGAGATCACACACTTTCTATTCAATCTGGTTGATGAAGTTCTGTCTGGAAGCATATTTTAAAATAATCCAATAGAAAGTCCATATACGATATTAAGGGAAGTTGTCAGCATTCAGCTGTTTTTGTCTCAGTCTATTTGAAATCCCGAGAAAAGTCACATCATACGCTTAATATATGGTTTGCTTAAACCTGATTTATTGTACGGTTTATATGATACATGAGTATATTCTTCTGCAAACTACAGATTATCTTCACATAGTGGGAACACAGTGTCCTCATCTGGAAGAAAGGAGGAATAAAATTATTCTATTAGACATTTCTTAGTCATTCAAAAGAAATCAATGTTTTTAACAAAAGGACTGTACTAGACAATGTGAGACTATTAAGATCATTTTCAATCACTTTAACCATACTTTCCTTGATCTTCAAATCTGCTTGAAGAAGGTTTGCTTCAAATTCATGCTCAGCCATAACTTATAATTTTTCTCACTGTTGCTTCTGAAGCCACTTAGATGTCAAACAAAGAAAGATTTATGAGTTTTATTTTCCAACTTTGTTGCTAGAGCAGTCAAAACAAAACAGAGAAAAGGATAACCTTTCATTCCTCTGTCCCTCTTGCTTTTGGCAAAACTTCCAAAAGAGAACTAACATATCTCTTTGATAGAGAGAATTGTGTGCAGATAAGACTCACATATCTTGCCAAGAAAAGCAAATATGCTGAGTCACTCATGCATCCGTTTTAGACATTTACTATGTAATGCCTGGAACCAGTCACTTTGAAATTATTCTCCATCTGTCAAATGATAAATTATGCTTCATACAGTACTGTTGCATAGAACAATAGGTTCAAACATCATTCATATACATACACACATGAAAGCACACATACACACTAAGCCTTCTATCTGAGGCTTAGTGTTCACTGAGAATAATAAACTCAAATCATATTTTAAACAGAGAAATACAACTTTATTTGTCAAGAATGGAGGGATGTTCTTTTATATTTCTATAGACATATAGATTTGTCAATGAAATTCAAATCTATATTAAATCTATATTAAAACAGGTTTTTTTTCCAATCTTATCTTCCAGTATGAAAAATGAATTGGACTTTCTTATTGAATCTTCCTTTTTTCCTTTTCAATTTTATAACAAGATTCACACATGAGGTTAACTCATAGTTTGACTAACAATTGTCTTCTGAGTTATAAATCATGATATATTTACTATGGCTAAATTAAAAGGGTACACTAAGCAAAAACCAAACAAACCCACATTATAATTTATCCAGTGTATGAACTGATCTTCTCTGTCGTGTAAATTGTATAATTGTCTGTGTTATACTTCATTTTAACTGTGGTGAACCGCAAACCAGAGAGTGTCAAGCTAATTTTCTTATTAAAATAATAGCTTTATTGATGAATTAATGAAGAGTAACTCTTCCTTATTAACTCATCAATAGAGCTATTATTGTAATAATATGGCTCTATAGCTGTTAAGTACATACTCATCTTTAATGCATAATGATCTAAAATCATATGGCAATTTTTTGATATTACCCCCAAATGTGTCAATTAACAGGATAGGATAAAATCATATGCGTTAATATAAAGCAATTGTTTAAAAAAAAATAAACTTGCTTCTTAATCACTGACAGAAAAACACTTTTTGCTTTGGGCTTCAGACATAGACAGATCATATATTCTAGTACCTTCTCAGATCACATTCTCCTAATCTCAGAGGAAACAGTGGTGGAAATGCCAATCAGCTGACTGCACTGATGATCTCCCATTTTCCTAGTGGATCAGAAAAATCTGTACTCCTCTAAGTCACCAACCACATAAATTGGGTTAGAATTGGGTTTGGTCATAAATAAATCTTACTAATTTTATTTTAGCATGGTTTACTTCTTTTCTTCAGGCAGTTGCACCTTGGTCTTGGTTGAACTTAAAGAAAAACAGAGTTGGAATGTATTAGTACTTGTATGAGAAACCAGCAGAAAATCCCAAGGTGCAGGCTAGATTGGAAATAAAAGGAGGGGGGAAACCAATTACTTCTATGTGGTAGCAAAAAAATGTATGGACATATTACTCAAAGTCAAGCCTGACTTGAAATACTATTTATTTGATCTAAGTTGAAGAGATAGATGTGTTATTCTATCCTGCAGCTAGCTCAAAAATACAATCCTCCAAGATTCATTATTTTGAAATAAGAGAACTATTTTTCACAGCTCAGTAATCTATAAATTGTCTTAGTGGCATGAACTTTTTGGCATCACTTCTGATTTCTGTATAAAGCAGCTCTGCACTGATTAATTTGATGGTGTGGAAGGCATCTCTCTTTTATGTTTGTCCTAAAATTCTGGTGTCTGATCAGGGTTTATTCATCTGTACTAGGATTTTTTAAAGATAAGAGTAAGTTTCAATTGCTGTCAATTTTTTTTAGCTTTGAAGTAGTTTTGCTTTTCCATTTCCAGGCTCTTCCATTATTATATGGAATCAAAATTAAAATAGAAAAGCTAAGATGCCTTAAAGTTTATCATTTAAGACAGAAAATTATCAACAAGAAAATAGAATCCCCTCTGTTCATCTTCTAGGCCTCCGTGTGTCATTCAGCTTCCACTGAAACCCTTCAGCAGAATATCAGCTGGTGTTGCTTTGATACCAAAGTGTTGGTATCAAAGTCTACAAATTAGGATGATTTCTATGGAAATGTGTTGACTAACTCCTCAAGACATAACCATGGTAGTAAGCTGCATGGATTCCTCAGAAGGGAAATAGCCTGGAAATGAAATTCCAAGCTATTTATGATTCTCAGCATAATATAACTCCTATTCATAAATTATCAGCAGAATGATATAAGTACGTAGTTTTGGTTAAATACTGAAGGAAATTAACTGAGTCAAAAGAGAAATCACAGCTTTTAACGGCATGTCCTTATTAGGCTGAGTAGTCAGTTTGATTCCCTTTAGCAGAAAAAACACCAGAGGAGAGAGAGATGTTCTCTGAATTTGTAGGCTGAAATAAAATGCAGAACCATACTGATGTATTGCTTATTTTGCTTTTTGAACTTGAATACTATGGGAGAGGAATTTAGGCTGTTCAGAAAGTAAGCAAACATATAAGAGATCATTACGACAGCTCTTTAGTTCCTCTTTGGGATAAACAAGGAGGAAAGAAGAATAACTTTGTTTTGACACAAAGTCTCCTATTGCTTCTTCCACAAGATCCCACCCTCTTGGCAACTGTCCCTTAACAACAACTGACACTGACTGTCTTCAAGAGAGGAGTGAACTGATTAGCTACAGGAAGAAATGTGAAGTTCACCAGCAGCTGAAAGGGAGAAGAGGAGAGAGAAGGCAACTATATCAGAGACACAAATGCATCACTTTAGTACTGAAAGGCAGAAGAAATCTTAGCAATTTTTTTAAGTGTTAATTTTTTTAAAAGCAAGGGCTTTTGGTTGAGGCTTTTGTGTTATTGTAATTATTTTCTTGTTATTTATATTACTGATTTCAGCCCCTTTGCTCTTCCATTTCTCTCTTGGAAATCTGCACAAGAGGGGGGCAGAGGTCAGGGAGATGGATTGACCGATTTCTATGGGTTGATGTCACAGCAGAGCTCTCAAGTCAAACCTTCTGGATTTGAAGTTACAAAGCAACAACTCTGCAAGGAGGAGAGGAGACTGAGAGCTGTATTTTGGACTGAACTAAGATGAGAGGGTAGGTCTTCTGCACAAGAGCCCCCAATCAAGCATTCTTCCTCCAGAAGACAAAGGGGCAAGTGCTGATTCCTGAAGAACAAATTTTGGGCCATGCGTGTCTCCTGATTCAGCATAGGACAGCCACTGAGGCACAGTTGCCCTTCTCTTTCTGGAGCCTGGCAAAGGAGTGTGGGGTGTGGGTGGATTGGGGTAAAGAAGCAAGAGACTTAGGTAGGAAGCATCTGGCTCTGGCTGCTGCAGCAGCAGCAGCTGCAGCTGCTAATTCAGTCCTCTGAACCAAGGCTGCTGGCTGCACCTGAATCAAAGATTTCCCTTCTCAAAGAAGGAAAAGGTAAGAGATGAGCTTTATATTTTTATTATACCTGGGAACAATAGCTCCCAGCAGTAATGAATGTTTCAAAAGAAAGACATTTAAAGATTTTCTAAGGGGTGTGTGTGTGTGTGTATGAGAGGGAGAGGGAGAAGGAGAGAGGGAGAGAGGGAGAGAGGGAGAGAGGGAGGGAGAGAGAGAGAGAGAGAGAGAGAGAGAGAGAGAGAGAGAGAGAGAGAGAGAGAGAGAGAGAGAGAGAGAGAGAGGGAGAGAGAGAGAGAGAGAGAATTTAGATTTGCAAAATGTTGGGTTTATAATTTAACCATTCAGGAATGACAAAAAAGTGGGAAAGAACAGGGGCTTGCAATTACAATTCCTCCTATAGATGCTGTGCATTTGTTTGCTTTGGATGCTCAAGACAGAGTAATAGTCCTAAGGAAGGACTATTTGGGCTCAATGAGAAAATGTTCAACCTCCATCTGCCACCGGTCTCTTTTCACGCTTTCCGTCTCTCTGCATGTCAGTTTTGGATGGGTCATTTTTATTCTCACTGTGTGTCTTTAGTATCACCATTTTATGGATGCATGCTCTTGAGAAGATAACTGCTTCCACACTACTTTGACTATAGCCATAGAATCGAGATATGATACTAAAACCATTAAGGGTTCAGAACTACTGAAGATTAAAGGCACAATTAAAAAAACTGGAAAATATCTTAGCTAAGGACCCATAGCGAGTCAGTTGCTATTTCCATTATTATAAATTAAATGGAATAAAGAGATGAATAAAGGTTCCACAAAAAAAGGAGAAATGGGCACTCATTTTAGAAAGCAAACCAACTATCTACTGACTCACTGAGTAACTCAACTGAGAATTGTTCTCTTTTTGCATCATCATCTTCGTGTTTCCTAGAAAACTAGCTGAAATATTTGGAAGAAAATACTGGCATTCAACATGTGGGAAAGGTTGTGATCTAATAAACTGCCACTGAAAATAAGAAGCATATTTTAATGGATTAAAAATAGGAGCAGGGGAAAAAACAGAAGTTAAACTTGTAGCAATTAAATATTGAAGCCTTCTTCCTTTATCTCTTCAATGCATCACAAATGCACACCCAGCCCCCCCCAAAACATTACCTGAATCACTTAATTAGAAAAGCAAAAAAACAGAGAAGTGAAAAATGGGAGGATAGGCATGGTGCAAGAAAGACTAAGCTATCCCTCAAGTGTGGCTTCTCATTTTTTTATTGGACTTTTCAGAGGCCACACAAAAAGCATTCAATGTGCTGAAGGATCTGAATTGCTTTTTTAGGCAGGATCTCTTTTGGAATCAGTAACAGAGCAAATGTAATTGGACAGACAAAAATGAGTACAAAGCAATGCTAATAAATCTAAATTGTAGTAAGAAGCTTCCCCCCCCCTTCTGCATGGATCCCTCTATTTTTTATTTAATATTTTACTTATGCTATACCTCATAAGATAGTAAGGAGTACAGTTGGTGCTTAGACACTGAAAGGAATCAGACAATCTCATTTTAATAGCTAAATACCATTACTTTGACTTTGACTTTGACTTTACTGACCTAGGGCAAATCATTCATTATTACATTGTTTCGCAAAACTAAAAATTATATCACAGAGGAATGTTGAAAAGGGATAAGTTGCTTCTATTATTTTTAAGAGCTGCAGGTTAAAAACTGCATGAGGTGGTGCAAAATGTTTAAATTATGAATGTAGCACTTTGCTGTTGAGCTGAAATGTATTTATAGCAATGTGAGGTCCAAACCATGAAGATGAAAGTAATATCAACAGCTGGTTAGGATGTAATCATCAATTCTGCAGAATATACTGTTAATCTGTATATTTTGTATCTAGGAAGAGAACATTTCAAATCAAGAGGATTAGATGAATGTGTTAAGTATTTTAAACAAGGCACAAACAATTGTTATAGTAGGGCTGAAGAGCAAAAAACAGCTTCAAAATGGACTCAGTATTTGGAACAGATGTTATAATCTTAAGATCTGACCCCTGAAACCTACCCTGTGTAAATTTAAACAGGGATAAAATACTGTTCTAGAAAAAAAAAAAAAAACCTGAGTGGGAAGGAAGAAAAATATTGATCCAAATATTTTTATTCAGAAATTTGATCACTCCTATAAATATATAGGATAAAACATTATGCAAGATCATAGTTAGAAGGCAGAAATCCCAAGAGAGACCTATGAATAGATTTACAAATAATATGGAGGTGTTTGCCGTTGGCTGTATTCTTAAAAAAATGGTTTTCTGATAAGCATAGTAATATTTATATTTTTAATTGTACATTTAATACATTTTAGATGCATATATCTAAAAATGTAAGAGCTGGGTTCTATAATTATTGGTTGAGGGTTAGACAGAATTCTGAGAGCTATTGCCTAACCACAAAATTGTTGCTTAAGAACGCTTTATGAATAAGGGTTTGTAAAAGTTTCATGTGGGAACACACTACATGTTGACTAGAAACTAACAGATATGATAGCAAATGATTTTTAAAGAACAGACTATAGCAAAGACAACTATACAAAACAGCCAAAGACTAAATAACAAAGGGTCTAAAATCTCCACCTGGTCTATTAGGATCAGAAAGCTTATGTTTTCTAAATTCTGAAGAATATTGATGTGTTTGTCTAATCAAGCCCATGTTATCATAACTGCTTCTTTCTTTTGAATAAGAAAACAGCTTGGTAAGGGAGAGATTGCCTACAAGTAATTAAGGTGATTAAATGGTTAGTTTTAAAAGCTTTAATTATCTGATGGCCTTGTTTATGAGCAATGAGAGGGCCCTTCTTAAGAAGAAAATTAGGCACACTGGGACTTAATTGGGACTGAGGTTGCAATCAGATGCATATTGATTGAGGAGTAGATCTACTAAAATGGACCTCCTTCCAAATAAACATGTTTTACCAAGTCTATTTGACATTTTCTGGTCTGCACTCTTTAGAGCAGGGGTCCCCAACCTTGACAACTTTAAGACCTGTGGACTTCAACTCCCAGAATTCTGGGAGTTGAAGTCCACAAGTCTTAAAGTTGCCAAGGTTGGGGACCCCTTCTTTAGAGATGTTTTATTGTCTGCATCTAGGTTTTTCTTCCACACCTTCAATCTCATCAAATGTTTCCAGCCAGTTCAAAGGCTGTATCAACACCAGGCTTAGGCAATAAGCCAGTCACCCAAAGGATCAACACTTGATCTAAAAACAGGGGACCCTGCTAGCAAGAAAAAGGTCAAAGGCTGTATAAGTACTGTGATGCTGCAAGTTGATACACCAATCACAAAAGAAACTTCTTAGAATAAATTTCTGTCTGTAATATGAGAATTTTGCATGTGCTCCAAAAAGTGGGAGGACTTGGAAATTTGGAGAAAATTATATGCTTAATCCCTGATTCCTTGTCATACTTATTAAAAGATTTGAGCAAAAGGGTTCGCATTTTTCTTTAAGAGAAACCAGTCAGCAAAGAAGCTTGAATTTCAAGAAAGAAGCTACCTTCAAATTTGAAGAACTGCTATTGGCCACAGCAGGGAGAGCATACTATACTATACTGAAAATAAGTTTATCTACATTGTTAAATAAATATGCAATGAGAAGGAAAAGGCACTGCTACTATTGAAATGCATGCAGGAGGACATGGAAATGCCACCCATAGCAAATGTGATTAACCACCTTTTGTTTTTGTTTTAACCTGAAGTTAGTTTATTCCCAAATTTCTCCTTACAATTATCTACTATAAAATCTGATGTTGCATTGAGGATGCGCAAGCTGTGGTCAGAGAACTGTCTATTGCTCCTCTAAAAGCATCCATCAAAAACTCACAAAGCTTTCTAAAAGTGGCTACAGATTGATAACTTCAATGCAAAAGAAGGAAATGACTAAATGTATAGGATTATTCATAGTAATGGAATTCAATTAATGCATATGTTTCACTAAAATTGCATTAAGTTAAATTTGGATGTTGCCTGATTCTACCATTCCACACTCAGTCCATAAGCCCCAAAAGCTTATGTGGTCTAAAAGGTCACATTCAAAATTAAAAATAATAATTGTATATTTCAGTGCAGTTGAAAAGAATAAATATTAGGAAATATTTGTTTGAATGAACATGCTTCTGACTAAAAGAAAATTTCTTTAATAAACACGGTTCTCCTTGAGACCATATTGAAGAGACCATTTTATTTAATACTTTGAATGGCTTCTCATTGATTTCCTTAATTCATGGCAATAATTGGGTTCTTTGCAATTAAAAGAGTTCAATCAAATCTATTTAGGACTGATGACTATAGGTCGACTTTTGTTTCAAGGGATTTAACTATATGATATTTGCTCTCAGTCAACTAGGATTGATCAGTACAACCCAGATGACATGTCTTCCCATTAGTAAACATGAGTTATGGAAGCTTTCCTACACAAATGTTGAAAGAGGGAGAAAGTAAGCATGCACAAACACTAATATACTTTAGCTTTGTACTCTTCCCATCCATGTCAGATTGTTTCAATTAAGCAGTAGGCAGGTACAAAGATGAGTCAAGAGGTAGGCGGAACTAAGACAAATAGTAAATCAGGATAACTTGCCTATCATTCCTCAGACAAATCCCCAATTGTTAAATGGACAGCTTGGTGCTCACCTAGTAGAAAACTCTGAAGATTCTTGATTCTGTCTTCAATATAGACTAGGATAACATTTTTATAGGATAACTTTTCAATATATTATTTATTTATTTAATCCCACCTTGATTTTTGGTCAGCTGAAGGTGGCATATATATTTGATGCTTCCATCTATTTTCCCTTCAACAATAACTCTCTGAGGGAAATTGGGCTAAGAGGGAGCAAATGACCTGAAGTCACCAAGACAGCCTTTATGGCTAAGAAAGGAATAGAAGTCCCCATTTCTCAGTTTCTAGCTCAGCACTTTAACTGTTCCACCAAACTAGTTTTCATCCGTTATGCCACTGACTGGCTGTTCCTTGGTTGGATGGCATATATACATATCATTGGAATCAATCAGCTTACCACATATGTTCCTATGATCATAGTACATTTCTATTTCCCAATCCCTCACAAAATTGTTTGAAATAGACATGTGTTCTTTTTTACTTCTGTAGACTTCAAAACACTGAGAACTGGCAAATAACCTCTTGAGCTGATCAATACCCCTTCCCCAGTCAACTGTTGATGTATGAAAACTATTATTCAATTGGTGCCTTAGATCAAATTTCTTCTGCTCCTATATAAAAGAAGCAACCTCCCTACAAAGAAAGGAAAGACTCTCTCTATTCTACATCCCATAGTTTTATTTCATGCCGTGTGAATTTGTCAGGTGATATGAAAAAAAAATCTGAGGATTTACGAGGAGGTGACACTATTGCATTTTAAAAACCCATAAAATAAAAGACAGATTAGGGATAGATCATTATGGAGAAGATCTATCTATGTGGTCACTAAGAGTTGACAACAACTTAGTGGCATATAATCATACTAAATTAGTAACATGTCTTTTGGATGCTATGACACCTAAAACTCTGTGGGGAAGGAAGGAAGGAAGCAATGGTTGGACTGAGTCCAGGAAGCAGGAGATACAGTAAATCAAGAGATCCATCAGAAGAAGATCATCCTGCATGTGCATTTTGGGTGCATTACAGTTCCAGATACACCGTAGCTGATGCAAAAAGAAATAAATTTCTAAACATAGTTAAAGTTTGCAGATATCCAGAACTGATTGTGTACTGATGAAGTGACTGTGGAAATGTCCTAAATTAGCTGGCATGACAAGAATTATTTTCAATCCTATCAATAAAAAGACAATAAATGAATAGTTAGCAATCAGACGCCTTTCCATAATATTAAAATACTAGCTGACTGATCATTCAAGCCCACTTCAAAACGAGGGACTGTCTCTTGTCTCATACTGCATTTTAAAATGTTGAAAATGATGCAATTGATTTAAACAAAATTTAATTACCTGAAAGTCTATATAACCCAAGTCAATCCAATTCACAACGCATTGTGAATCTAATGTAGTCTGGAAGCATCTCTGAAATAAGAATTACAAAAGTTGTCCCTCCCTTACATATTCTGATTTTTATATAGCATTAACTGAGGTATTATACTATGCCAAAAATATCTAAGTAACATTCTGAATTTATTCAGGGGTAATAAACAATGCTTAGAGTGCCATCCAATGAATTTTCTTTCCCCCAAGTGACATTTGCTAAGATTTCTTTTTCCTCCCTTAGTGATGATTACTGTTTTACTACTGATACTTAGAAATGGTAGAATATGAGTTTACACATTTGAAAAGTTTGCTTGTATTTTTAAGATGTTAATAAATAAGAGTGGGCAACCAGAATGGGAACATCAACAATGCAAAATTTAAAAGTGCAAAATAAAATCTAAAATAAATGAAGAACAAGATTGTCTTTCATAACATTTTATTTAATTTTCAAATGCACTCACTCACTGCTTTCATATGGTTATCCTCAAGAGGAGGAGACATATGTCTATTATATTTTACTGTACATCAGAAGAAGGGAGGAAGTAACACATCACCTACTTTTTCAGATGTCACAGGCCACTCTGTGAGCAAATATTTGCAAAGTATTGATTGTGGTTGATTAGTATGAAAAAAATGATAGCTTTGGGGGGAAACAGTACTGGTAAACAAAATACCATTATTATTTTGTGACTTCTTACAACTATTCTTCTGCATTTATCTTGTTATTAATGCTATGCATAGAGCCTTTGTCATTTTCAGAGGTCAGCATGCTTGCATCCTGGTTATGTACAGAAGTCAACTGTCTTTTTTATTCTTTATCTCATCTCTAATTCTATGTTCTAAAACTGTGAAAGTAGACAAAGGGCATTTCCAAACAAGGCCTTGATTTGCATTGGAAGAATTTGTACGAATTTGTACAACTCTTTTTTTTTTTTTTGCAATGGGAAGTGACCAGCAATGCCATCAATTGGCTCAATTCTCTTCTGAAATGGACTGAAACTTTGTATATTAATGGCCAACAAAATGTTAAATGTACCTGAATCACAGCAACTTCATGCAAGTAATGATGAAAAATCTATTGTCTTCCAAAGCCTGTTCAATAAAATGTTTTGTGGAATACTAGAAGGAATGGAATTTGGTTGTCATATATGTCAATATTATTATTTCTGTTGGTGTTACGTAGATTTTATAGATCTGATTCCAAGTTAGAAAGAGAAGTCAAGTTCACAATTCAAATATGAAATTGGTGTGATGGAAATTATAAAAACATTTTTAGATGTTTTGATTATCCAAAATGCAAGGTTAAACTTACTTATTCTATAAATTAAAGTTAAGTAGCAATATTATGGATAGAACGCTCTTAGGATATATTTAATTACTATAAGTCACAGTCAAGCTACAGCTAGTCCACCATTAACTAGTAGTGCTGTATGCACTAGTGTTACTCCATATGCCTGCCTTTCACACACAATATATCTTCTCCAGGATTTTTACCTAAAAGATGAGAATCTTTTTTGTCAAAATAAAGTATCCAAAGATATTATCTGCAAAAAGATAATATTTTATTTCACCATCACTGAAAAGCATTATTATGATGATCGTGGTTGGTCACACAGCCAACAGAGCTTGTCTGTTTAAATTCTAATCCCCAAAGTACTTGAGTTTGTTCATTTTCTTTTACTTTGTCTATTTTGTGGTCCCACTAGTTTTTACTTGTAGGTAAATGGTATTTCTTGCAGATATTCCAATGCAGCATTGTTGTTATATTGTCATGCCATTGTTTATAGTTAATTTTTGTTCCACTGTGTTATTCTGATGGCACTGTTATTTTTACTATCATTGGTAATAATTGTTCCTTTTTTTTACATCTTTTCAGATCTGAGCAATGATGAAGACTATGTCCAGTGGGAACTGTACCTTAAATGTGCCAGCCAAGAATTCCTACCGGATGGTTGTATTGGGAGCCTCCAGGGTGGGCAAGAGTTCCATTGTTTCTCGGTTTCTCAATGGCCGCTTTGATGACCAATACACACCCACCATTGAAGATTTCCATCGCAAAGTTTACAATATTCGAGGTGACATGTATCAACTGGACATTTTGGATACATCTGGGAATCATCCATTCCCTGCCATGAGGAGGCTCTCCATTCTCACAGGTTAGAAACATACATGTGAGGCTTAACAGTGGCAAGTTAAGTTTGCCATAGTCAGAGCTGATCACTTTTTGGGAGAAGAAGCAGGCTGAGGATGCTTTAGAAAATTGCCCCATGTTAACTCTAAATCCTGTCTTTAAGAGGCAACCACCAATTTCCCAAAGACTAAGTCAGATGCTTTTGGACAACAAGACTTTGGTTTTCTTGGACAAACAAACTCTTGTGGCATGGCAAGCTGCTCTGAAAACTCAAACATATTTCAAGAGCAGCATGTGAGATAACATGAATGTCTATTGTTCAAAGAGGACAAAATCATCTTTGGCTGTATGGACTTTTTTCATTGACAGCCATTGATTCTTTGATATTTATATAGAAATAGTCATCAACTCATGACTATAGTTGAGCCCAAAATTTGCATTGCTCAGCCAGACAGTTGTTAAGTGACATTTAATAACCTTCTTTTGCCACAGCTGTTAAGTGAATCACTGCAGTTGTTAAGTTAGTAACATGGTTGTTAAGTGAATCTGGCTTTCTCATTGACTTTGCTTGTCAGAAATTTGCAAAAGGTGATCACATGACCCTGGGACACTGCAGCCATCATAAATGCATGCCAAATGTTAAAATTTTGATCATGTGACCATGGGAATGATGCAATAGTAATGTATGAAAAACAATCATAAGTCACTTTTTCAGTTCCATTATAATTTTGGATAGTCTCTAAACAAATGATAAAAACTGTGTGTTAGGATTGGCTGAAAATAGACATACATAATCAATTGAAACCAGCTGACCCAACCTTTCATTTTATATAAGTGGATCACACATCAACTATTTCCTTTTTCAGGCTTATCTGCATTAATTATTACATGAAGCATTGTGACTGGACAATACTATGCATCATCGTTTTTTTACAGAACATATAAAACAGCTACCACAGTCAGATAGTTTGCTATTAGAATTTAGGAAATTTAAATGTCAAGCAATAGCAAGAAAGCAATATAGAGACTGATATATGGAAGATTGAAAAAGGTAAAAATGGAACTTATGGAAAACATTGGAAGATTGGGCAAGAAATGTTTTAGATACTGAAAGAATTAAACTTCACAGGTTGTTTAGCATTTAGTTCTTAGAGCTAGAGAAGGCAGAAGAAAAATATTAACAATAGTGTCAATTCAATTTTCCACTGAAGAGGATGCCACTACAGAAAAAAATGTTAAAATTCCCCTTGATGACATAGAAGCTTTGCAACTTGAATTCATTGCACTGCATCTATACGTTAATTGGTCCCTTACTTCTGTGAATTATTAAATAATATTAATTTTATTCAAATATCCTCAATGTTTTTGTTTTATTGCTACTGTTCCCCACCCTAATTCTCCCCACTTATGCTAGGCATTAGTTCTCACCTTCCTAGGTAGTATGGCTTTTGATTAGAAAAGTATTAGGTATTATGGGCATTGAACTTTGACAAATAGAACGCACTAGACTGCAAATTCTGCCATAAAATCTATAGAATTTATAGCAGTTTTGCTCTCTGCTGTTTTTAAACACATATTTCTGTATGATGAAGTTGTAATCTATTGCATTTATTCTTTCCTGTTGAAATACTGCAGGTGATGTTTTCATCCTTGTATTCAGTTTGGACAACAGAGAATCCTTTGATGAGGTCAAGAGGCTCCAGAAGCAGATCCTTGAAGTCAAATCTTGTCTGAAAAACAAAACCAAGGAAACGGGGGATCTGCCCATGGTGATCTGTGGTAACAAGAATGATCATGGTGAACTCTATCGCCAAGTGAGTTCTGATGAAGCTGAGAAGCTTGTCTCTAGCGATGAGAACTGTGCTTACTTTGAAGTCTCAGCAAAGAAAAACACCAATGTGAATGAGATGTTCTATGTTCTTTTCAGCATGGCCAAACTACCCTATGAAATGAGCCCAGCTCTTCATAGGAAGATCTCTGTGCAGTACGGTGATACTTTCCACCAAAAGTCCTTCAGGATGCATAGGGTCAAAGAGACAGATGCCTATGGCATGATTTCCCCCTTTGCTCGTCGACCCAGTGTCAACAGTGATTTGAAATATATAAAATCCAAAGTCCTCAGAGAAGGGCAAGCAAGGGAGAGAGAAAAATGCACAATCCAGTAAAAGAAGCTCCATTGAGGAGTCCATAGCATATGTGCAGTGCCTTAAAGAAAGTGGCTGAACAAAGACAGTCTGAAAATATTTACTGAGTCATGGATGACAACTACAGTCATCAAAATACTTTGGCTAGAGCATTGTACCATTTCTGTAAAGATATAAATAAATTAAAACACAGCACTGTAAATACTTGAAGCTGCTATGGTAGATAACTGCCATACACAGCCCTTATTATTTGGTCTTTGGGGTTTTGTATTTTTTTAACAGAAAAAAACCTTTTTAGTTTTCTCTTTTTGTTTTCCTTTGTTTCAAGAAACTTTAAAGAACAAAGAAATCTGAACTTCAATTTTATACCAAAACAGTTAAAAGACAGGCCTGATTTATACAAGTTTCTTGAGTAGCCATCATGCAGGAGACAATCTGATAACAAGATGAAAATTGGCTGTTGTTTTTCTCCAATTCCTCATCTGAAGAAAATTCAAACCTTTTGAGGAAAATATACTTCTTTGTGCCAATGATAATTCTTCATCGTGTCAATACAAATACTACATTTCTTTACTGTTTCAATTTTTCTCTGTTTTTTGCAAATGACAAAGTGTTTGTTTTAATTAATATGTGAATTAATTGGCAAGTATGATCTAGAAATACCAGCTGATTTTCAATTACATGATATGTAAATAATTGAAATTTCTGTACTGTAAGAACCAGCACACCTGTTTCATGTGATTTTCTGTTCCTAAAAATCCATATATTTGGAAAGTTTTATTGTACACTCATCCAAATCCCATTCATTTTTATTCCACAATAATAATCCTGCTTTCTACTATACTGGTAATAATGACATTGGATGTGCAATGCCAGGTGTTATGCTCTATCCTCCAACTTTCTCACATAAAAGTTGTAAACCTGTGGAGATTAATCTGAGGGTAAGCCGAATTGAATTTAGTAGAATTTTATATAAGTACACATGAGATTGTAGTATAAGACTCTAGGCCAGTGTAGACTGAAAATGGGACTAAAATCTTAAGCATTCTTAGCTGAATAAAGCTTGCACTTTGTAGATCACATGCTTAAGATTGAGCATGTTATTATTACACAATGATATTTATTTCTCACTAAAAATATCTGGCCAGCAGCTACATTTTTCCCATGTTCAAATGGCTGAGAAGTTTCTGGTGCAGCTATTTATTTGCAAAATGAAGGTTCAGAGTTTAAATTTAACACAACTGTCTTCCGTGTCCATTGTCCATGTGCCACAGTACTGAGTGTACCATAATATAGAGTGAGCAAGAGCTTATATACCTTTATAATAAAAAAAAAAATCCTTCACCTTTGCTTGGAATTAGTCTAAAACATCTGGAGGGAAACAAGTTGAAGATATTTGATGTAGCCAGGGCTTTTTTTCTCATAGAGCGCTCAGAACGGAGTTCCGGCACCTTTTTTGGATGGAACCTTGTAGGGTAGGCAAGGCGGGTTGTATAATGTGTCTGAGTTCCCGCACCTTTTTTTTTTTTTTTTAGAAAAAAAGCACTAGATGTAGCTATCTCCGATTTTCTTTTTTTAAAAAAAAACCAACCTTAATATTGGTGGATTTCTTCCAGACAAATCTATTTACCAGAATGCTTGTGGAGAAAAAGAGCAATGCCAGAATCAGCTTGGTTTGTTACTAAAAACCTACTTGATTATCTTATCTGACTCTTGAATAATCCTTAGTATCTATAGTATCAATGTGAATAGGAATTAGATTTTGTTCTGAGCCAGCTGCCTAAATGTCTTTCCTCTTTTCCTGAGTTCTTTTTCTCTCTCTCTTTTGTCAGATATGATAATTCTCGGCTTATATATGGTCATATATCAGAACAAAACTGAATTTTGCATATCTCAGAATTATTAAGAAGGTTTGAACCCATTTGTCTTGAATAGGGAGATATTGTAGGAAATAATGGGGGCACAATTGTGCTAGCCCAGATCCCTCCTGCCCCATCAGTCTCAATTATATGATGCCTTCCTTCCTTCCTTTCTTCCTTTCTTCCTTCCTTCCTTCCTTCCTTCCTTCCTTCCTTCCTTCCTTCCTTCCTTCCCATATACTAATAGACATTTTTAGAAAAATTACCTCAGACATGAATGTGTACTGTAATGTATGTGGTTGTGTATACACACACGTGCCTAGCAGGAAGAAGAGACACTTCAGTCTCAGTAGTGTTAACCTACTGTCCACAATGTAGATTTCTAAAATGCTGTACCAGTCCTTGATTATATCACACCTCTGTGTAATATTATACCTCATACACTGTATATATGTGAATAGTACTGTGTGCTTTAGTTGGCATTGCAAACTTTATTCGCATGAACAAAAGTTCACTCTGACATCTAATAATTAAGTAATTAATGTTGTGGGACAAAATGGTCTCCCATCTACTTGTTTGTTATATAAGATTCAATATTGTTAATTTCCTAGTACTATTTCAGCCATTTATGTCATTTTGAAAAGATTCTGCATTTGTATAGATGTTTCTCTCTCTCTTTTTCTTTCGATAAATGTGATTTATTTATTAACTGTGTCTGGACTGGTTTATTTTTATAAAAATGTGATCGGGTAGCTGATTTGCTCTGGATGGCAAGCTGTTTAATAGCAAATTATTATGCATAGAATCACATAATTTATAGATGTCTATAAGAGGGCAAGTGACAGCTCACATACTTGCATAAAAATTGTGATGCAAAACTGTGTGATTCTGTGCCATCCTACGTATCATTGCAATATATTATGGGTGCTACTGACACCATTGCTCTAATATAGATTCATAGGAATATTCCATTTGAAAGATAACTATTCAAATTAATGGATGGATTTTCAACAACAGAAAAACAATTTTCCTCACTATAGACATTATAAGGTTTGTTATCAAAGGGAAACCCACAGCCATATAAATGTAATAATTAATTTAAATAAATAGTAAAATAATAGTATTTTACCACCATAGGAGTTAATGCTGGCCAAAGGCATTGGGAGTTTCCATCAAAGCAAACAAGGTCAGTCCTGACTGAAAGATAATTTTGGAAATAGAAAGAAATTTTGCTTCTGGAGAACTAGAGAAATTTGTCTGAGGCAACCCGAAATCTGAGACAATATGACAATAGATACCTTGCCCTGGTTTCTGTAGCAACCAACATTTCCTAAGCTAATTCCACAAAATGATGACTACATCACCAGTCATGCTTTCAGGAGAAGAAAAGCAGGAATATTGGAATCTGCTCCATGTCTTTTATCTACTGCCAAATAGAATGACTTCAGACAGCTCACATTAATGGAAGAACAGAAAGGATAATGTTTATTTCTTTTCTCTTCCTTGCTGCTATTATGTCATAATCACCTGAAGCTATTCTGACAATTATTGTTACAATTCCTAATTAACATGATCCATCAACTGCAATTATATTAGCAAGTATTACATGAAACAGAATCTACAGAGCCTAAGAGGCCACAAAACGAATGAAATTGGGGCTAGGGGAGATGCACTCCCCACCTTTTATTTTATGGTATTAAATATTGCTTGGTCCAGGTAATGGCCATATCCACTTATATGGGGAATGTGTCAGTCCAGGAGCAAAAGGATTTGAGTTCACAAATTCACAGTCAGCAATGAGTGTCTTTTGTCTCACTCAACATTAAAGTATTTGAGAGATGTATAACCTTGTGTAATGAGCTGAGATCCCCAGAAGAAGGGTGAGATTAAAAAAGAAATGTCTTGCAGATAGAAAATAAAGATCCTTTATTTGAGTCACACTGTCTGTGGTTTCCTATTTCTCATTTGTTCATTTGTGCTTGCTTACTGCACATTTGTTTGAGAATTTTTCTGAGAAAATCATAGTACAAAATTAATATCTCGCTTAATATATACAGGTAGTCCTCAAACTACGACCACAATTGAGTTCAAAATTTCTGTTGCTAAGTAAGACAATTGTTAAGTGAATTTTGCCCCATTTTATGACCTTTCTTGCCACAGTTGCTAAATGAATATCTGCAGTTGTTAAGTTAGTAACAAGGTTGTTAAGTGAATCTGGCTTTCCCATTGATTTTGCTTGTCAGGAAGTCGCAAAAGGTGATCATATCACCTGGCACACTGCAAATGTCATAAATATGAATCAGTTGCATATGAATTTTGATCACATGACCATGGGGATGCTGCATGAAAAACAGTCATGGTCAGTCTTTTTCAGAACCATTATAACTTTAAAAGGTCACTAAATGAACTGTTGTAAATTGAAGACTACCTGTATTTATCTTATATTAATATTTTCACTAATACATAAGTTCTATAACTTATTAATTTAGGAGCCCTGGTGGTGCAGTGGTTAGAACACTGTCAAAACTGACTCCATAGTTGCCTGCACTTGCTTTTACTCACAGTTTGCCAAAGAGTCACTGGAGGAGGATGGTGAATTCCTATGGGAGGGGGAGGCTAGGGAATGCACAAGAGCCTTCTGTTGCCGATGAGACGTTATCCACCAAGGTCAAGTTATGAAAAATACTGGAGTGGTGCAGACAGTTTTTCCCCAAACAAAAGAACTGAACTCGGTGAACTATGAACTGTGGGTGGCTGGGAAAGGAAAAAGGGGTTTTACCTGTTGTGTCCTGAGCCTGCAAAAGCAGGCTCGGGACATTGCTATGGTCCCAGGGTTGCTGCAAGCTGCCCAGGACCAGACTGAGAGGCGCCAGCCTCGCACGCATGCGCAAGGCGCGAAAGTGCGCCATTAATTGTAGCCTTTTTGCCCAGGGATCCGGACACTAAAGCAGAGACCTGCAAGTCTCACTGTTGTTGTTGTAGTGAGCAGAAGGAGAAATAAAGAACCATTATTTCTAACATGTGTGATCTTCATTCGCCATCGAACGAAGTACTTAACACTGGCAACCAGGGTGGGATCTTGCAAGCTTGAAAGAAGAAAAGCTGTAAGACTTATCCAAGGAGTCCTGAAGAAGGGAAGACGGTGTTAAGCTCAGCGTTCTAGCCTGCCAGTACAGCGTCGCTGGAGGTAAGCTCGGCTGATTGACTCCTTCCCAAGAAAAGAAGCAAAGATGGCGAAGATAGGTCACTTATCTGAATTTGATGTTTCACACCCAGAGAGATGGGAGTCTTATGTTGCAAGCGTAGAAAGCTACTTCAGAGTAAACCAAGTCAGAGAAGACGGCTTGAAGGCTGTGACTCTGTTGTGTGTCTGTGGTCAGGACGTGTTTGAAATTGTGGAAAATCTGGCGGCCCCTGCTCCTCTGGAGTCTGTAACGTACACAGACTTAAAAAAGCTATTGAAAGAACATTTCCAGCCCCAGATGTCTGTTATTGCGTGGAGACACACATTTGAACAGAGGGACCAGAGAGCAGGTGAATCAGCCAAGGAGAAATTGTCTGCCTGCATTGCCTGCGATGCATCTCCTTATGAGGTGGGAGCTGTACTTAGCCACTTGAAGGCTGATGGAACACAGGTTCCTGTAACATATCACTCTAGGACTCTATCTTCTGCTGAGCATAATTACGCCCAAATAGACAGGGAAGCACTGGCCATAGTGGCTGGCATTAAGAAATTTCATGATATATGGCCACCACTTCAAGGTCTACACTGACCATAAGCCTCTGTTGGGGTTGTTTACAACTAACAAACAAACCCCTCATATTATATCCCCTAGAATGCTGAGGTGGTCCATTTTTCTGTCAGCATATGATTATACTTTGGTTCACAAACCGAGTAAGGAAATAGGCCACACTGATGGCCTAAGTAGACTACCTCTCAAACTAGTAGAAACTGATCCTGCTCCTGTCATCAATATTCTCTCTATTCAGGAGTTGCCTGAATCTCCTCTCAATGCTAAGGACGTGGCTGCAGAAACCACCACCGATCACACTCTTACACATGTGCTTTCATGGGTGTTGTCAGGTTGGCCAGACAGGAGTCCAGGTACTGAGTTCCAAAGCTTCTGGCTCAAGAAGCATGAGTTATCCACTTTTAAGGGTTGCCTGTTATGGGGTAGCAGGGTAGTTATCCCAGCCTCATTGAGGCCTAGAATCTTGGTCTCTCTGCATGAGGGACATCCTGGCATTGTCAGGATGAAAGCGCTTGCGCGCAGCCATCTTTGGTGGCCTGAGCTAGACAGGGATATCAAGGCTCAGGTGCACGGGTGTCAGTTGTGCCCACAGTCATGGCCAGAAATGCCTCAGGCCCCGGTTCATAGGTGGGAGGAAGCTCAGGCACCACAGTCCAGGGTGCATATAGATTACGCTGGGCCCTTTCAGGGGCAATTCTTCTTGGTTCCAAGTGGCTAGAGGTTATT